AAATTAATTAACGTCTTTAAATAAATGTGTGATTAACAGTCTGTCTTAAAACAAAAATTTTTCTCTACCTACATACTATTTTACAGCTTTCCACGATGAGTGCAACCATGAGCAATAGTCAATCAGGCAAACAAACAAACAAACAAAAAAATAAATATTCAAACATGTAAACAAACTTGACTTTTAGTAGTATATAGATAAGGAAATTGCGCATAAATGTCACTAGACTTTTTTAATTAACTTGTTTTAGGGATATTACTTATATACATTTCCACACATCTCAATTTCACAAAAAAAATATGCATTATGTATTTTATTTTTATAATTTTTTAATTTTAGATTTCATTTCACATAGCTATACTGCACTCTAATTTGGAAAAAAAAATATTTCGAAACATAAAAAAATTGGTAAACTGTGAGAACATACTATTAATATGTATAGGCCTACTTTATAAATTTAAATATTTCTTTTTAAACAGCACTCAATTCCTACAGTGAGCAATGGTTATCTTCTGCTCGGGTGGAAGGTCACAGTTGGCAGAGTCAAAATCACAGTCGTTGGCGTACGATTTCCCGTCACGGCCGCAGATAGGCCTTAACAGCAGGTAGCAGGCGTTTATGGGGCAAGGTCGCTCGGTATCAGCTGGGTAACATTCCTTGTGGCAGGGGCCCTCACTCTCAACGGTCACTTCCGGATTGTCGCAGTTGGCGTTTCTCAGCTCACATGTGTTAACGTAGGTCTTGCCGTCCGAGCCGCACACGGGGGCCATGATACGTGGGCAACCCGTAGGACAGGGCTAGGACTCAGACAGAGCCGGGCCCACACCTGTTGGTAACGATGCGTATGTATATGTATATATATCATATGTGTATATATATATATATATATATATATATATATATAGATATAAATATCTCTCTATATATATAGTATATATATATATATTAAATAAATATAAAAATATATATATATAAATATATTTATATACATACATATATATTTTTTTTAAAATAATTATATATATATATATATATATATATATATATATATATATATATATATATATATATATATATATATATATATATACTAGCCGTCCCGGCCAGGCCCTGCTCTGGCTTCTGTGAAAAACCTTTCCGTTAAAGACCATTACCTGTGTGTTTAGTAATCATCATAAACCCGGCATTGCCCACCCAAACCACAACCAACCAAAACAACAAAACGCAAACATAACGCTAACACAATTAGAAATACAAACGAAAACAAAAACCTAACAACAAACCCAACCACAACCACAAACACCAATACAAACACAAAGAAAAAACAAACGAAAACAAAAACCTAACAACAAACCCAACCACAAACACCAATACCAAAAAAAAAACAACGAAAAAGCAAACGAAAACAAACCAAATCCAAACGCAAAACCAACCAAAAACACAAATACAAACCCAAACAAAAAAAAACAAAAACGAAAAAAGAAAGAACAAAAACGAACCAAATCAAAACGCAACCACTAACGCAAACCCACCTAAACACAAAGAAAACACTAACGCGAACATAAACGCCCGGGGCAGAATCGCCTGTTTTAGCTTAATAAACGACTATAGTACCCCAACTTATTCATAGTTTTTGCACTCACTTAAACGAACGCGCCTGTTTCAATTTAATGAACAATTATAATACTCCAAGCTTATCCGTAAAATACCTAAAACATTTGCACTTGATCAATCCCCGCTAATTATGTAATTATTTTTTTCCCAACACCAAAACAAAGTAATTAAAAAGTAAATGCTTTTCAACTAATGCAATGGTTTCATAAAGGGAAGTAATTGTGTTTTGCCTAATTTATCAAAGGGAAGTAAGCGCTATAGGACTAAATAAAAACATAATTAGAATTTTTGTAAAAGATGATATTTTTTTAAAACTTGTGTTTAATGAACATGTCGACAATTATTACTATAATTTGAAAAATGAAAATGATTTCCCAACACTTTTAATAGTAATTTTTTAACTCATAAATTTAGACAAACGCGCACGATAATTGATCTAACACTTAAATCCGTAGAAATGCCAACGACAAACATATGCGTTACAGAATTGAGCTTTATATATTAGATATATATATATATATATATATATATATATATATACATATATATATATATATATATATATATATATATATATATATATATATGTATATATATATATATATTACACTTATGTATCGGCACTTTTGTGAGTGCGTGCGTGTGAGAGTGTAGTTAATTGAACTTGTCATCGTATCTTATTATGTCAAAAAGATTCATTTATGCGACCAAATCTCATGTTTTGAAATTAAAAATTGCTTAAAATGTGCTTTTATACGATATATTTTAATTTTAAGAAGCGACTTAAACTGTTTAATTAATATTGTTGCACAGCTATGGAAAAGTATCAAAATCAAATGTAAACTAGCCTGATCTAATTCAATGTAATTAAGAAGTAATAAAACTATTTAAAAAAAGAATAAACCAACTGATGTAATACACTACTTACAAACAAGACCGATAAAAACAGCAATCACAATCATTTTGAAGTCAAGATTTCAAAATTCTACTCTGAAAAATCTGTAACAAAAATAACACGATAGCATGGTCATTTTATGCTGGATTATTAAAATTTTAATTAGTTTGATGTTTGAAATAAAATTAGATCTATATAGTGAGCATGAAAATACGATCTTTCATAACGAAAGCAAAATTCATGTAATAGTTTTTTAACGAACAAAAAGGAAATTTAAAAAAAATTGCCTTAAAGCTAAAATATCATACCTCACTGAATATTGAGCTGTATTAAAGAGCATACGTTGGGTGCTGTTTATATACACTTAGAACGCAGTTAAATTGTTTACTACAATACACTGTGTACTCTTTGGTTTGTCATTAATTTGTAAGAGAATTATCACAATTAAGCACCAGGTTGGAAGAATGTTAATTGGTTAATTATTTTAATCTGATCTGTTGCTTTTTTTTGTGAAATAGGTTTACATTTTTTTTTGTTTAATGACGGTCGGAAGGTAAAACTGTTATTGCTAACCGTAAAGTCTCGTGTTCGAATCACGAAATTCGAATCTGTCGAAAGTCCTTGAGTCCGTCCTGTTCTGATGGGTGCCTGACTCACGTTTAGGAAACCTACTCGGCTGGGCATAGTGCTGACTACACCGTCTCTTCGTGTAATTGTATCCAGTCACCATCACAGCTTATACGTCGTACTTTAAAAAGATGTACTCTACTACAACTGCCCTGTGTGTATCATACTCTAACGGTAAAGGTTTATGATGTAGTCGGTTGATGGGATGGTAGTTTTGGACTAGCTCTTTGTGGATGTGGATGGTAGTATTGGACTAGCTCTTAGTGGATGGGGATGGTAGTTTTGGACTAGCTGTTTTTGGATGTGGATGTAAGTGTAGTGGTTAGCTGTTTGTTTATGTGGAGGGTAGTGTGGGGGCTAGCCTATAATACGAGGTTTAATAAAACACTCATTTGGTAATATTTCACTGCTGACACAATCCATGATATTTTTAAATAGTTTTTTCATTTATAAAAAAATGTTCCTTTTTATTTTATCAACATTTTTATCGTCTAAATGATGCAATAATTTCTACAAAATATATTCTTTGTCCACTATGTGTGTGTGTGTGTGTGTATTAATAATTCGATCAAACTGTTTCATTTACAACTCACCTCTCACGGTCAACTGTACGACACCGTCTCTTTATGTAAATGAATCCAGTCATCATCACAGCTCATACGTCGTACTCTAAAAACATGAACTCTACTACAACTGCCCTGTGTGAATCAGACTCTAACAGTTAAGGTTTATGATAAATTCGGTTGATGGGATGTTAGTTTTGGACTAGCTGTTTGTGGATGGGGATTGTAGTCTGGTGGCTAGCAGTTTGTGGATGTGTGGGGGGGGGCCTGCCTATAATACGAGGTTTAATAATACACTCATTTGAAATACTGCACTGCCGACATACCATGATATTTTAAAACTGTGTTTTAGTTTCAATTTTTAAAAAATTGTTCTTTTGCTTTTTATCTAAAAATGTTCGTCTAAACGATGCAATAATTAGTACAAAATATAAAAGATATTCTTTGCTTACTATGTGTGTGTGTGTGTGTTTATTATTTTATCAAACTGTTTAATTTACAGCTCACCTCTCAAGGTCAACTGTACGCTATGTGCTACATATGAGCTGTGATGGTAACTAGATGCAATACAATTAAACGGGGCCTAATCAATACAAACAACATGTTTGTGTGCACTCTATTTCAAGATTTAATGACTGAACATACTATTGGCTTGGTAGACATAAATCATACAGCTCGGTAAAGTAATTAGGAAAATAAATGTGTGCTGCTCAACCTATATATATATATATATATATATATATATATATATATATATATATATATATATATATATATATATATATATATATATATATTTGTGTGTGTGTGCATGTATGTACACACAGATGAGTGCCAGTATTTATTTTGGTCTGATGTAAGCTCACCCCCTTCCTCTACCACCCCCCCCCCCCCAATTAGTGTGACCATTAGCGGACCGCATCCCCATACCTTCGCCCTGTAAGTTAAGTTGTTTTTTTTCATCTGCCCATATTTTACTTGATTCTCCACGTAAAAAAACTGCCGGTCATGTCGAAAACACACATTTCATGGCGACAGATGTGAACTTGAGTTTTTTAAATTGTTGAACAAACATGTTTTTAAAGATTCAACATCAATATTTTACTCCAGCAAAACATCGTGTTTACCATCTCCCATTAAATTTTATCTATTAAAACAAAAAATTTGATGATTTCATTAATTCCACTTCATTAAGCAACTCAGAAACTTATAAGCGAAAGCGGAAAATTTTAAAGTTAAATTTGAACAGTTGAAATCAACAGCCAAAAAATGAATGGTATAAAATACTCCGCACCTTGCAGAAAAAAATGTATTTCGACTCAAACACATTTTAATTTACATCAAGGTATATATATATATATATATATATATATATATATATATATATATATATATATATATATATATATATATATATATATATATATATATATATATATATATATATATATATATATATATATATATATATATATATACATACCTTAAATCTTTAAATTGTATAAAATTATATATAGATAGATGAGCTCACTGTTGTACATTGACCGTATATTTTTTTCCAGTTTAGACATTAAAGAAGAGACACCATGTTAATTTTGACAGTACTGTGTTTATTCGGAGCAGTATGTAAGCACAACTTTTTCTTAATTTTTTTTGTTACAGATTATATTCGTTTGATCTAAATAATCTTATAAAATAACACGTAACAGTCTTGGATTGCCATGTTGAAAATTTTAGTGTGTGTTAATCCATTGACGTAGGTAAATCACTGGTGTAAATCATTGAGCATTATTGTTGTCGGATGATATTTACTAAATCAAATGTCAATTACTATTTGATACTTACGTAATATTAATGGATATGTTCATACTTTATTGACAAATTGATGAACGAAATATTTGAAGCTTTGGCAACGTGGCACAAAAGTTCTCATTGTTTATCAACGGGACGCTAAAATTAGTTAAAATCTACGAAGAAGTGTTTTTTAAATGTATTTAATTGTCGCAGGCATAGTCACAAATTGTTAACAATTCTATTCGTGGAAGTATCAATATAATTTAATTAATTTAAAAAAAAAGTTTAATCATCATCTTTTTAGAGAGGAAAAGTTAAAATATTCTAATTAGTTCACACTAACAATTTAGGCTTAAGTGAAATACCCTTTAACAGGATAGTACAAGATAATACAGAATAGAAGTTCTTCTAATATCACAAACATATTAACATTGAAAATGTAAAACGGATTTCGGGCCATTAACCAATGCCACAAAGAAGTACCGCACATTATGAAAGTCCACTACATATCTAATGGCTTCTTTTTTAAAAAATTGTGCACACGACAGCGTAATAGAAATAGAACTCGGCCTTGACGACACATTAAAAAAAATACAATTATAAATAACATTTTAAAATATATAAATAAATTTGACGAAAATGTTTGAACCCCTTTTTGGTCCCCACTCACTATTTGGTCCCCTGGGTCTATATAGCTATCAAAGGGGAGCATCAAGTCAAATAAGTCAATAAAATTAGTACCTATATTTTTCACTGCAGTTTGTGTAATGGATTTCAATGTTTGCGGAAAAGCGTGGTATAGTGACTGTAAAATAAAGATAATCGTACGGCACTACATTAATTTAAAAAAATATATATCAAGGCAAAAGTGCACGAAAATGAAATTGAAATTTTTAAAAAATATGAATTATTGTCGGCTTGGGCCCCCTAAATGGCCTGCCACAACCCCCCCCCCCCACTGCGGGGTCGGGCGGCATTGTAGTTCTGCCCCTTACTCTATTACACTAAGCTTAGTTTAACCTTGATTATTTTATTGACATGTAACCCATTTGTAATGCAATGAAACTGATTTTCAAATAAACATCTTCAGAAATATATATTTAAAAATACTTGGATTGTATGACCATAAAAGTGTGTTGTGGTCAGCTTCACTCCCTTTAGGTTATATTTAGCTCAGATAAGTTCGTGAACACCTGACTATTTTTAACTCGGCACAATCTTTCAGGCTAAATCGCTGCAATAGAACTCTAAGCTTTCATTCTACGCTCTACCTAATGTCCACTACATCTCCTACTTACATTTAATTTTTGTTTTTTTATGTTTCAAGTTTCGTATTCCTGTTTTATTGTGTCGTTTGCAGGCTTCGCTCTCGCCGATGACAATGTCGACTGTCACGACATAATGTGCGATCGTCAGTACCACCCCGAGTGCGGCAGTGATGGCATAACCTACAGGAGCTTTTGTAATCTGCTGATCTGCAATGAAGAGAAGGGAACGCAGGTCGAGATAGTCTCAGACGGGCAGTGTAAATAGACAGTCGCGCAGCTAGGTCGGGTGTCACCCTAATTGAGTCACCCTCCCCCTGGATAGAAAAAAAAAAAATATATATATATATATATATATATATATATATATATATATATATATATATATATATATATATCATACACCTTGTTAAGAATGTGCTGGTGTATAAAATATTTAAATAAATCTTCTTTTTTTCTGGATGTATTTAATTTTTTTAAGCTACGCACTTTAGACTGAACTTCGTCTTTAACATTTTAATGTATAGGAGAATGAGTAACATAGCGACACATGCCTTTTTTTACAACGTATAAACCCGCTAGAAGCACTTTACCTTTTATGAGTATATTAAATTGATAATCAAATTGTTATAGTTTAAAATAATCCATACAAAATGTACAGATCAAACTGACCAAAGGTGTGAATTATTTGTTTCAAACAGTTTGGCAACTCTTTTTATGGCGACAAAAAACGTCAAAATTTGTCACTAAGGCAGCCAACCAATTCTATTCACCTGTTGCTCGCTTTTTATTGCTTACTAGACTACCCGTTATGTTTGAATAACCGTGTGTTTCAAGGGTCATCCATAAATGACGTCATGTTTATTTGATGATTTTTATCTTTTCCCTCTTCTCTCTACTGTCACATATCACAAAAAACCAGACCCCACATTCAAAAAGTCGCTTATTGTCTTTTAAAAGCACTGATTTAAGCTGAAACTAGGTCTAAACAAACTATCCCTTTATATGCTGAGGTTACAAAAAAGGTCAACTCTACTTCACCTGCAAAGTGTCCCGTCAACTCCGACGTTTTAGACTTTTAAAACACCGATTTCGGCTGAGCATGGGTCTGACCACACTATCGCTTTATATGCTTAGAAGAAAGAAACAGATAGAGCTAGATCTAGATCTTGATCTAGAATCTACGACGGCTAGCTTAAATCTAGTTTTTCCTTAGATCTAGATTCTAGATCATGGGTTCCCAAACTGGGTAAGGGCTTCCTGGGGGGTCGCGAACTGGTAGACTAAACCCTAGCAATGAAAAAAAAAACCAAATATTTAGAAGAATATCTGAAAATCGGTTTTACTACATCACAGGAAATGGAATAGAGAAAAAACAATGCGTACTGTGCGAAGTGGTTCTCAGTCATGAGTCTATGCAACTTTCAAAACTTTAACGTCATTTGAGACGAATAATTCGGAACACACCAAACAATATATGGAGTTCTTTTGTAGGTATGAAGGTAGTTGCAAACGTCAGAGAACACGAAGTTTTCGTCAAGGAAACACATCATTAGTGCAAGCATCAAACGAAGAAATTGCCAAGCAAAAACAACACCATAGAAGAAAATCTCATCAGACCTGCATGTTGAAGTTGGTGAAATTAATTCTTGGGGCTTCCAGTGCAGTAAAGATTCAACACATAGCTCAGTTTAATAATACTATTCAGCGACTTATAGCAGACATGTCCATAGATGTTAAAGAACAAATTTCGAATGAAATTAAGCTTTCACCATTGTTTGCTTTTCAAGTTTACAAATCAACAAAAAACAAAAGATTTAGCTCCCTAACCAAGGAGAATCCACTGCATGATTTACTGGTAAGCCCTCACCAGCAAGACTCTTCTGACTCTATTGCTAATCAAAGTAAATCATGGAAATCTTGACATGTTTGAGAAACCCTGCAGTGTGGTAGATGAATGTGATTGTGAGATAAATAAAAAAAATTGAAACAGGAGATTTCTAGAAAACGAACAGCGGCGTTATTTTACACGCAACCCATTCTCTGCGTCCCTTGATGTTGCCAACATTCCTAATGAATTACAAGATGAATTCTTGAATTTGACTGAATGATTCCGCGTCAGAGAAAAAACATTTTTGAGGTAGTACGTACCATTTATACCCAAACGTGAAATTGATTGCCTTTCGAGTTTTAGTTCATTTTGTGTCTACATATCTTTCCGAGAATAAAGTCAAAATATTAGTTAATAATCTGCAGTCTGTGACAGTTTTCAACACTTTTCCAGTTAAAAACAAAACATAGAAATAAATTAAATGGTGAGAATGACATGAGATTAGCGTTAACAACAATTAAACTGCGAATGTTGAGGCCAGTTAATTGCATGAAATTTTACTCATCTTATTAAAACAGTTATCAATATTTATTCATTTTGAAAGCCTACAAGAAAATCTTACTTTAGTCCTTATAAATTTACTTATTAATTTCGACTTTTTAATTCCATGGGGGTCGCGGGTCACTTATGTTTTGTAAAAGGGGGTCGACACTCGAAAAAGTTTGGGAATCAATGTTCTAGATATATAAATCCCTTGTGTTCTCGAAATAGACGATTTACACCTTCCTGAGTCGGAAAAACATAGTTTTGAAATTTGTCTATGTGTGTGTGTGTGTGTGCGTATGTGTGTATGTATTTGTGTCTGTGAACACCATAACTTGAGAACCGTTACAGCTAGGTTGATGAAATTTCATATTTAAGTGGAAGACGCCCAGTTCGTGGTAACACATGGTAGCTTGGGTTTTTTTCAATTGCAGAACTAACATTTTAAGATTCATCAGACATGTTTAACTGTAGCAAAACATCGTGTTTACCGTCACACATTAAACGTTCATTTTTAAATCACAAGCACGTTGATGATTCCATCAATTTCTACGAATTAACTATGCATCTTTTCAATGGGCATAACAGACTGAAAGGAAATCCTACCAAGATTATTGTTTACATGGATTTAAAAAAAAACGTGTGTTTTTTTTTAAATTAAATTTTGAAATCAAAGCGACTGTAAAAATAATAAAAAATATAAAAACTTTAAAGTGAAAATAATTTAGATATTTAATTATTTTTTGTATAAATGTTATAAAAGTTGCAAATCCAGATATCTTTCGTAAGAGAAATATTGATTGACACTACTAGAACTACGTTTTCGATATTCTAAAAACCACAGTTCATAAAAAAAATCTGATTGTAATTTGTCTTCAAAACTTTGCCGATACAATTTTTAAAGTCAGCCATCTTTTTTTTTCGACGTCTGTAAACAATCAAAGTGTTTTTAGCTTTTTTAAACTAAATTTCCTGATTACCAAAAATAATAAAAACATTAATTACACCCAAACTTAAAAATAAAAAGTCCAACACAACTCAAATTATCCAAATTTTTGTAACCATATTTATTTTAATAACGTAGTATATGATTTGTTCAATATTTATTGGGCCTTTTGAATATTTCGAGGCTATTCTCTGTTGTGTAAATTTCCGACCAGTTTATTAACTGCGAGAGGTTCTTATAACCAATTGTTTCGACCATTGGATTAGGATTTAATATAGTCTCCACAGACATTCAGAGGAGTAGCTAGCGGAGGGTGGGTGCGACGTCCATCTCGGGCGCCGACCCAAAGGACACAAACGGGGTGAAAAGTTTTAAAAGCCGATTCTGAGCTGCATTACTAAACTATATGAAGTTAATATAATAGACCTCTGCTTTGCATTCCTAACTTATTTAACTGTTTTGTACATCAATTTTGTGACGTAATGCAAAAAAACTGCATTAAGGACAGAGACTTGTAAAAAGTGCTCCAAAACTTTCCAAAATGGGAAGACGTAGCTTTTTGCTAATATAAATAACAAAAAATAAAATGGTCGGAAGGGGGCGCAAGTTTGATGCTTCATCCTGGGCGCTAGCCAGGGTCGCTAAGCCACTGTAGAGAACAACGATTTATCTACAATGCTATGATAAAACTGAAAAAAATTGCAATTTCTCAGCACGGTTTTCTGCTTTATATTGATCACATAAAAAATAAACCGGTAGTGATCTCCCCTAAACTTTCTCGAATATTCTTATATAAAACAAATCCATTTTAAATACTTAAACTTTTAAAAATAGAACAGAATCTCATAAAAAAACATTGCGCACCAAGCAAACGCCGAATAAAAACGCGTATAATAGTGCGCAATATTATTAGTACTTTAAAAATTTACATTAGTTTTTTGAGAAATCGGAAGTAGCGTAAATTACTACTTCCAGTCAACGGAAATTACTCAAAATTTAACAGAAGGTAGAGAATTAGATCTTTTACTTACATGTGAAATTTCATTTATCTATCTGAAATAGTACTCAAGTTATAGGCTTTTGAAAAATTCAAAGTAGGAAAAGTACCACTTCCGGTTATCGGAAATCGCTCAAAAGTTGATACGGATCTACGATTTTGATAAAATACTTATATATGAAATTTCATCAACCTAGCTGTAACGGTACTCAAGTTATCGTGTTTACACACGGACAGACAGACACACAGACACACACACACACAGACATACGGACAAGATTGCAAAATTATGTTTTTCCGTATCAGTGAGGTGTAAAACGTCGAGATTTGTAAAAATCTCGATTTTTTTTTTTGCACGATTACAATACTTTCTCTATACTACGTATATACGAGAAAGTAAAAAACAACGAATAATGGCTGTATTATTTTTAGGGACTGAATAAATAATACTTTTAACCTCGCATGCTGCAAAAGTTAATCCTGTATGTAAATGCTAAAATGTTATTTTAAAAATCAAAATAAAACAAAAGACTGAAGTAAAATTCTGCAATAATATATGACACACCTAACAGCTTTCTATAAATGTTTAGACTAATTGTTCCTAACTATGGACATAAAAATGGTCCTTGTATCTCAAGTTGTGACGGTGTGGTCGAGTTGTACACCGCTTGACTGCTAGCCTGAGGTTCGGATCTCGGTACATCCTCGAGACAACAGGACTTTCCTGAGCCCACACAGCACTAATGAGTACCTGCATCACGATATGAACCATTCATATGTAGAGGTCAAGAAACATATGTAGGCCTACTCTACTTCATCTGTGTACCATTGTGTCCGAAATAACTTGTCTCTCACATAAATTTGGCCCGCATTAGAATCTGGACCTGACATCGGTTATGTAACCCGTGATTTAGGTTAACTTAATCCTAACTGTTGTTTATGTTGGTCCAGTAAATATCTTTGTGAGGTTACGAAAAATAATAAATGAAATTGGGAAAAAAAGTCCACCC